GCCCCGGGGGCCGAGGCGGAGTTGTAGTATTAGTGCGGGTGGTGGTTGGGCACCGGCTCGCCGAGCTCGGGGTACTCGGGCGTCAGGCAGTACTTGGGGTCGTAGACCTGGCGCGGCAGCCCGTACACCGTCATGCCCCGCTGCGAGGCGCCCTTGTTGCTGCCCATCTGCAGGCTGACGTTAAGCGTGTCGCAGTGCTCCATGCCCAGGCCCGGCTCGAAGATCTGCCGCTTGGTCCCGGGGGCCGTCATGCCAGCCTGCGGACAAGGGCGAAGGTCAGGCCCAGGGACGGCAAGGGGCCAGGCCTGGCTGGTGCACCCCGAGGCCCCGCTCGCCCACCTGGCTGGCCCCCTTGTTGGTGCCCATCTGCAGGCTGATGGTGGCCTGGTCCAGCGGCTGGTCTGTGCCCAGCTTGGGGTCATAGAGGTGGCGCCGGGTGCCGTAGGCTGTCATGCCCTGCTGGCTGGCAAACTTGTTGGTGCCCATCTAGCAAGGCAGAGGGAGAATCACCCTGAGGACCGCGGAGTCTCCCCAGGGGCCACGAGACAGGGCGGGTGTCAAAGCTTGAGGCATTGCTGCCACCTTCAGGGGACAGGCTGGAAACCCAGGCTGAGGATCACATCTGGGACCAGCCTCTCCAGTTCACAGCCCGGCCCACTGCTCCTTCGCTGGGCTGTCTGGAAATAGGGAGCTCACCTCTTCCAGGCCTCAGTTTCCCTATTTGGTGAAGACAGTACTTACTCCCAAGGCAACTGGCAGAGGGCGGGATTTGGTTAATGGAAAATGCAGAAAGGCAGGTGCGCACACACCTGTCATCCCAGCACTCAGGAGGCTGAGGCAGGAGGATCGCTGTGAGTTCAAGGCCAGGCTGGGCTACATAGTTCAAGGCCAGCCTGGACTGCATAGCAAGACCCTGTCTAGAAAGAGAGAGGGGCTGGGGATTTAGCTCAGCGGTACCACTGCCTGCCACGCAAATGAAAGATCCAGTTTGATCCCTGGTACCCCCCCAAAGAAAAAGGAAAGAGAGACAGAGAGAGGAAGGAAGGGAGGAAGGGAGGGAGGAAGGCTGGGAATTCCCAGCCCATAGCTAATGCCAGACAGACACCTGTCCCCACAGCCCGCACGGCCCAGGCCGCCCTCCCATGATGCCCCAGAGGGCACGAGGCAGGACCTGTAGCCCAATGATGTTCCGCCCTTCTCTCAGCTTCTCTGGCTCAAATTTCCGCTCCTGCTTGTCCGCATACTTCACCCCAACATTCACCTTGTTGCCTTTTGTCTTGGCCTGGGTGGGGCGAGGAGGACAGGGGCCCGGGGAGAGCATCCAGCGGGCTGCTTGGTCCCCGGCAGCGCCGCTGTCGCAGGGCCGGCTGCCCGGTGCCCACCTGGCCCCCCACTCACCATGCTGGCCAGGGCCAGGAGCGTGGACTGCACCTGGGTGTGGTTGGTGTTCTCAAACAGGTCGTTGGCCTCGAAGATGTCGTGGGGCTTCACCCCGTACTTGGTAACGGCCTTGATGAAGTTGCTGATGTTCTCCAGCTGCAGGGAGCAGGGGCGTCAGGGGCGGGAGGCCTGGGGTTGAGGGCCACGGGCCCGAGGGCTGCCTGGCCTTACCTGGTGCCAGTTTTGGGTGGACTCGTTCACCTTCTTCACCGAGCCCGGCTGGAGCTTATTGATGAATCTATAAGGACGTGGAAAGCCAGCTCTCGGAGGCAGCCTGGCCAAACCCCCCTCGTACAGTCTTAGGGCGCAGAGAAACCAGGTCACCCTCCGCAAAGCCCCTGTGTCATGGTATCTCCTGGTCTTGATTGACTGAGGTGTTTTTGAGACAACAGGGCCTCACTGTGTAGCCCAGGCTGGCCCGGAGCTCATGGAGATCCTCCTGCCTCAGCCTCCCTAGTGCTGGATGACAGGCGTGTGCCGCCACACTCCTCCTTCTGTGCCCTCAGTGACAATTTCTCTTGCAGCCACAGCAGAGCCCGCATGGGCTGATCCCTGGCCACACGCAGCCCACTGGGGATCTCACTACTGTCTTGATTTTCAGGGCCCTGGTTGCCGTCTTAGCGACAACCCAGTGTCTCCCTGTGGCTCAGACCTCTCTGTATCAAATCAGTTTAAACTGAGCACACCCCACCCCAGACCCCTGACACCCCTCCTTGCCAACTGCCCCCTCTCCCCATCCTTCCCAGTTTAGTAAATCAGCACCCACCCTTCAGGTACTCAGCCAGAGCCGGTGAACTTGCTATTGACCTCCCCTTTCTCTGCCTCCCAGCCTCACATCCAACCCCTCAGCAAGTCCTTTGACTCAGCCTTCTAAATGCACCAGAAGCCCCCGACTCTGGCCTCTCCCAGTAGCCTCCCAGGGGCTCCCAGCTTCCACCTTATCCCCAAGATCCTTCCTCATCTGGCAGCCAGGAAAACAACAACAACAAAAAAAACCTTTTAAAAAACTATCAAGGAGGCCACATGGTGCCATACGCCTGTAATCCAGGCTACTAGGAAGCTGAAACAGGAGGGTTGAATTTTGATGCCAGCCCGGCAGTAAGTCTCAAAATAAAGTCCAAAGCGGGGAGAGGCTGAGGGTGGCACTCAGTTTGCCTGGCACTGTGAACCCCTGGTTCCACCCCCAGCATCCCCCATACACACCCAAACACAAAATCCAACTTGTTCTCCCCTGCGGACCCTCCAGTGGCTTCCTGTTGCCTTCAGAATCAAACTCAAACTCCTTTGTGTTTTGTTTGTCTGTTTTTGAGACCAAGTCTCTCACTATGTGTGGTTCAGGCTGGCCTTGAACTCACTTATGTCACCCAGGCTGGCCTCGAACTCACAGCGATCCTCCTGCCTCAGCCTCCCAAGCCCTGGGGTTACAGGTGTGCACCACCACGCCTGGTTTAAACTCCTTTGCTTGGCCAGCAGTCCCGCCTCCCTGGCCCGCCATTAACTCCCTGAATAATCTGCCTCCACTTCCCATTGGCCACTGGCTTCAGGACTCCAGGGTCTCTGCATTGCCTGCCAGTGTTGTCGAATTGCTCTTCTCTCAGATCGCTTTCTGGGACTGGGAAACTATGCACTCTCACTACGTCAGTATGCGATGATCTGAGTCCACTCATCTCTCCACTGGGCTTTCCCTGACCTCGTGCCTAGAACAGAGGCCTGGGTGCAGCAGGAGCCCTGTTAGTGCTTCTTGTGTGGATGAATGAATTAAATGAATGGTTAGTTGGCTCCCTACCCTTTTTTAAAAATAGGAAACAAGATAAGCACCCCAACTCCTCCCACCCAGCACCTGAGACTTTGATTTTCGTTATTATTTGTTTTGACTTGTTTTTTGAAGCATGTCTCCCTAAGTCACTAAATTGCCCAGATTGGGCCAGAACTTGAGATCCTCCTGCCTCAGCCTATCAGAGTGCTGGTATGACAGGCATGCTCTATCATACCCAGTTGAGCCTCCGTTTTCTTTGCCTGTTAAGTGGGCATGATGATTCTTTTGGGCTGTCTGGAGGTGCCGTATAGAGAGTGTTCGACCCAGTTGGGCCGAGGTGGCTGCTGGGACCAGGATAGCCGCACTCACTCGCACAGGATGATGCCATCTTTGAGGCCGTCCATGAAGTTGTTGCCAATGTGGCGCCCAGTCACCCCCTCGATCCACTCGCGCAGCTCCTGCTCCCGCTGGTGGTCATACTTCTGGGCCAGCTGAGGGTGGGAGCACAGGTCGCAGAGAACAGTTTTGGTGGCCCGGGTCCAAGCCTAGCCTTCCCACGCCCCCTCTCCCCTCTCCCATCCCAACTAAGGCAATTCTGTCCCAGCGTGGGGGGGCAGAGGTGGGGCGGGGCTGAGGTGGCACCTGCCCAGGGGGCCATTCCGGGCATTCTGAGGTTTGGCACCAGGGGGGACAAGGAGGGAGGCTGGGCCGGATCCTTGGAGCTGGGGGGCGGGGCCTGGCCTCCTGGTTCCCCCTCCAGGCCAAATTGGGGCTTAGCTTTCCCCGGCCCTCCCCTTGTACCCCCAGTTGGAAGAGGGGGTGCCTCGGGCAGGTGGGGAGGAAAGCTGTAAAGAAGGGGCCCTGGGTTCTGGCTGGCTGGGGCCACCACCGGGTCCTTACCCCACCTGTCCCAGGCTATCTCTGGCTAGAAGTAGGAGGCTTGCCAGGGCCTCACCCCAACCCTTGAAGGTCTGTTGTTGTTTTTGTTGCTGTTGTTTTTTTGCTTTGCTTTTGTTTTGGGGTGGTTTTTTTTTTTTTTTTTTTTTTGAGATAAGGTCTCACTATGTAGCCCAGGCTGGCCTCGAACTGCAAGCGATCCTCCTGCCTCAGCCTCCCAGATGTTGGGATCACAGGCATTCGCCGCCACTCCTAGTTCTCTCTGAATTTCTCTCTCCCTCCAGCTCTGTCCTTCCTTCCTCGGCTCAGGCTCAGTCGTCCGGGGTTGAGCTGCCTGTCCCGGGGCAGTGGGGCGCATAGCTTTGCATCTCAGTGCTGGGCAATTCCTCAGCTGGACTCCAGGGTCCCTGGCTGAGCAGGGAGGAGCTGGGGCTCGTCTGTCTGTCTGTCTTCCCTCTGCACCTCTCCATCCCTGTCTCCCTCCTGTCTCCTCCTGCCTCGGCCTCCCCGCCGCCGGTCCCACAGGGTCTGTCCGCATCGTCCCCTCCCGTTCCCTCTTCCGCTTCGCCTCCCACCCCCATGCCTGATCCTCGGGCACCGGGCTGCCCCTTCCCCGAAGTAGAGAGAGCGAGCAGGGGCGACCCCTCACCTGCGCCAGCTCGGAGGTCCCCCTCCCCACCAGCCCGCCTTTATAAAGCGAACCAGCCCTTATATAGAGCGCCCGGCTCCCCGAGGCCGCCTTATATGGCGCGGCGGCTCCGCGCGACTCGGGGCCGGCGCTATCGGACTCCGGCCGCCCCCGTCCCCTCCTCCAGCGGGGGGTCCCGTCCGGGGCACAGCCCCAGCTCTCCGCCCCCTGCCCCGAGACCCCAGGAAAAGTCACCCCGGCCTCAGTGTTCTTCTCTGGCGAATGGGGCCGGGGCCTCCCGGAGAGCGCGCCCCTCCTGTCCCTCACCTGGAGAAACTGGTCCCCGCCCGGTGTGTGGGGAGCGCAGGGAGTTGGTCCAGGCCCCAGGCCCGCACCTGCCTTGCCTCGGACCCTAGCGACTTCCCTCGCCTTCCTGAGTCCCCGTTTACCCTGTGGTAGCACGAAGGTGGTGCTGCAGGCAGGAGGCCCCTGCCCCGGGTCCCTGACGCCCGTTCCTTTCCGCCCCTACCTCTCCCTGTTCCTTCTGGTCTCCCGCACTTTCTTCCCCTCCCGGGAACCCCAGATCTCAGGGGCTCCTCAATCTCTTTGTCAGGCTTGGAGAACATCAAGTCCTCCCGGTGCGTGCCCCAGAGTTGAGAGAGGACTCGGATGTTACGCAGCGGCATCTTTGTCTCTGGAGGGCCGGGTGCCCCCCACCCCGTCCCCCAAAAGTAGCAGAGGGCGCTGGGACGTTCCCGAGGGGAGGAAGACAGCCCCCAGCCAACTGCCACCCTCCCCGGCAGGGCCGCGGGGCCTCTGGCCGGGCAGGGTCCTACCTTGTTCTTGACCTCGGCTGACAGCCCGTAGGCAGGGCCCCGGTTGAAGTGGACAGAGGACATGCTGGCCGGCGGGCCCTGGCGGCGCAGTCAGGTGTCGCTGAGGACCGAGGCTCCGTCTGCACCCTCTTCACTGCTCACATGTTTTTGAAGCTCCGGAGGCGCCCGGGTCTCCTCCAGGGCCGTCCCATTGGCCGCGGGGGCCTGGCAGGGGGCGGGGCGCCCCTCCTTGGCCACCCCCCTTCTCGTGATGTCAGCACCTTGGTATTGGGAGCTGATGGTGTCAGAGTTTCCGCCTGGAGGGGCAGCGTGTGTTATTCTGGGATGGGGGGCTCCCTCGGCCCGACCCCGTCTTTCTGCCACTGTCCCGTGGGTCCCTGGAAGGTCTGAGTCTCTATCACAGAGGTCATCAGGCTCCCTGAGGCGGTGGAAGTTTAACAAGCAGCACCCTTGGCTGAACTCCAGACACCACCCCTCTCTGTAGCCTTAGTAAATCCCTTCTCCCATCTGGGCTTCCGTTACCCCATCTGTGAAATGGGCTAACCATCGCATCTGCCTCGTGGAGGTGTTGTGGAGATCTTCAGAAGGGATAGTGCAGCCGGGCGAGATGGTGCACATGTGTAATGCAGGCTTCTCCAGAGGCTGAGGCAGGAGGGCTGCAAGTTAGAGACCAGCCTGGGCAATTTCGTGAGGACCCATGTCAAAATAATACCAAAAAGGGCTGGGGGAGAACGCTTCAGTAGCAAGGCCATGGGTTCCATCCCCAGTATACTGAAAAACAAGAAGAAGAAAAGGAAGAGAAACAGAAGGAGACAAAGAAGAAATACTGCCATCTGGGTGTGGTGGTGCACACCTGTCATCCCAGCACTTGGGAGGCTGAGGCAGGAGGATCGCTGTGAGTTCGAGACCCACCTGGGCTACATAGTGAGTTCCGGGTCAGACTCAACTACATAGTGAGACCCTGTCTCAAACAAAAACAAAAATCAGAAAAAGAAGAAATACTGCCCCCAATGTTCCCAGCTCCAGTGCCTGGCTCAGGAGAGGGATTCAGACAACAGCACCTTATCTGGCACCGCATTTCTGTCCCCTCCAGCTCCTTGTAGGGTCCCGACACAGCAGAGGCCCTGGACCTACCCTCCCCACTCACCTATGGGTCTCCTGAGTGGCCACCCTGTCCCAGCCAGGCCACCCTGCAAGCAGCCACACCAGGCCAGCTCTCACCCCTGGACCACAGGGGTGGACACCATGCCCACACATGTCAAGACCACGACGGTGACACTTGCCATGCCAGGCGCCTGCCACACACTAGTGTCATGTGGGTGCATGCCAAGGCACAGCTGTGACATGCAGGTACGATATCCCTGCTCCAGGCCACCAGCATAGATCCACTCAGTCCCCAAAGCACCCTCCAAGGTAGCTGCTGTCATCCACAGGCATATTACAGACGGGGAAACTGAGGCACGAGGAAACAGGGCCACTTTCCCTAGGGATGTGTCAGGGCTCATCAGCAGCAGCGCAGGATTTGAACTCAAGCCTCTCTCTGCCCCTAATGCTACGAGGCTGAGGTAGTTTCTCAACTATGGCACTGCTGACAGGCAGAGCTGGAAAATTCTTCGTGGTAGGCGGTTCTCCTGGGCATTGCAGGATTTGAACCAGTACCCTTGGCTGCACCCTTTATCTTGGTAAACAGATATGTATATGATATTGCCAAAATTCTGCTGGCTAGGGTGTGGGTGGGTAGGGAAAAGCAGATCACCCACATTTTAGAACCACTGGGCTAAGGCATTATGCTGAGGACCAGCTGAGGGTCCTTATCCGTCCTTATTAGTCATGCTAGGCTGAAACTAAGCGAAACACATCAAGGAAGCTCGCACTTAGCACCTGCTATATTCTCAGTGGTTATGGATCTGTTATGACATTCCTCACAGCCCCAGGAGGTGCGTCTCATATTGGACGCTGAGAGGTGAAATCGGCTGTCCAGGATTCGAAGCTGGCAAAGCCAGGATTCGAACGCGCGAATTCCACGATTCCGCCCTCCCGCTGCGGGCCACAGGTCACTACTGCGCATGCGAGGCCAGGCACTTCTGCCCAGCTCGGAGCCGGCGCCCCCTGGCGGCCCTGGGTGG